GATGAAGATAAAAATGAAGAAACGTATAGTGGAACACCTGTGAGTCCCTGTTGACAAAAAATACCCCAAATTTCTATAAAATTATCGGATAATAATAAGCCAAGGTTACGATCAGTTCCATTTTCAATTTTTAAAAAAATTAATAAAAGTGATGCTATAATAAGTATGCCTAATATAGAAATCCAAATAGGACGAGTGAAAGTCTAGAAAAATAATATAATTACAATTATTTTATTCAATCGAAGTTTATCCCATGGAAAAAGAAAAGGAAAAATGAAGTTCGATGAGAAAATTGTTCGTACCAAAAAATAAGATGACCATTTAATGGCAAATATCTCTGGTTCTCGAATGTAAAGATTATTTTTAGAAAGTAAAAGAGGAAAAGTAAAGTCAACTGCATCCAATCTTGTACTGGTCATCGAAATATCTGCGATAGCAATGTCAGCACGTCCAGCAACTAGTTCTCCAACTGCACCAGTCCAAGTATTTTCTTTTTTGTTCCAACTTCCATACTCATTTACTGTCGAAACTATCGAAAAACTAAAATTTAGAGTAATACAAAGTTCTTGAAATATTCTACCAAATATTCCATCCAATTTGCCATTTTCTATTTCTACGAACGTCGAATCCTGAAATAAACAAAACGACAAAGTAACGAGACTAATTTCTTCAAACAAAAATAAGAAAATATAGAATATCCTAAAAGATACTTTACTGAATTAAACAATCATAAATTTATGTGACAATGTATTTTTAAGTGTGCCAATACTTTTTTTTAAAAATAATAGTTCTAACTGAAGATTCATATTATAAATAAACAACAAAAAGTATATCTTAATTCTATTAACAAACTAGCCTTGATTTTTGTATTTTAATTTTATCTTTTAGATAAAATAACTCTATTTAGTTTTTTCGTACATTTTGAAAAAGAAAAATATATTTTACCTTGACGAGAACAGCTCTCATGACCAAACCTTTTAAACCAAATCTTCTATCGTAAATAGAATCTGGATCAACTTTGGTGATTCCTTTTTCTTTATTCCATATAGTTAAATCATTGATTTCAGTTTGATTACCGTCGAGTGAATACCATTCACGTAACATACTTTCTGTTCCACAACGAACCAACATTTCCGAATTGAATCTCAAATGGAATAAGTTACCCGGTGGATTTCGGCAATAATCAGAACCTTTTCCTTTATAAATAAATAAGACTAGCCAAACGGCAAAAGACATGTCAAAGGTGCTAGTTGCTAAAGAAAACCTATTCATCGCTTTGTAATTAGATATAATAGCAACATAATGGGGTCGTACAATTCGTGGAACGTAATACGATGATTTATTCAAATCTGAAAAGTACAAGCTCGAGGTTGCAATACCTTCGTGAGAAAGTTCACGTGTCCATTTGAATACCATCGTTTTCGTTTCCATATCTATGACAAGTAAAAATACTATTGATATTGGAAATGAAAGATAAATACAAAAATAAAAATTTCAAATATCGTCTATGATCAACCAAATGTCATTAAAATTACAATTTTTGTCTAAAATTATTTATTTTACTAACATTGCTTGCAATTTAAAAAAAAAAAAAAAAAACAATTCAGGAAAAGTAATAAAAGGCTATAAAAATAATATGTAAAAAGCATCATACTTTTTCCGAGCAATAATTGGAATTTGAATAAATGTTAATTAATGATTTTTGGCTGAAGTTATACAAACGCACCTTCTACAGATCTGTCATATAATAAAATGATAGATTTCGTTCCGTACAATTTGACGATATCTTTGATAAAAGGAACGGAGAAGTTTTCTTTGTCTGCCAAAAGAAGTTGATACGATTTTGCAAGCTTCGAAAATAACAATAGAATAAGAACTATTTGTAATCGCGAAATTAATATCATTTTTTTTTTTTAAGTATTTTTCGATCGAATGATCACAGAGTTTATTTTTGTTCTTCGTTGAAATCTTACGAATGGATGACCACGTTGCAAAGAATTTTCTAGGATTGCGTAACAACGAGAGAAGAAAGCACGAGACTAAATTTCTAAGCTCTTTGTAGAATTATTTCCACTTGAAATATTGCAATAATCGCGTAGAACTGAATATATGCAACGTGTGTGTGTGTGTACATATTCGTATAAAGAAAAGACATTTTTTACATTCTGGCATTGATCTATTATTAATCAATCAATAAACTCGAACAATTCCTTTTTTGTTAGTTTTTACGTGTGTATATTTGCATGCACTAGTATTTATGTACCTTTTATGCATACATATGTTAACTTTTGCATTACATTGGATATCTTAAAAACAACGATGTACCTCCATTAAAATAATTGAATAAGTCGATTCAAATCAATAAAAATGAAAAAACCACTTGTTAAAATGATTTACAAATGTTATTCGTTGTTATTTCTTATGTTAACATTTATCTACAAATATTGGCTTTAATTAAGAAATTAATACATTAGGGTGAAATTTATAAATTTTGTTATTAAGGAAAGATATGATAAATGATAAGGAGGCATGGTTTAAAAAAAACATACTAAGTTACTCCGTACATTTATATCACTGTATTTGTTATACATTCACTACTTTCTGTTTTATTTGTAATAATTAATATTACTCATTATTTTTATTGTACAATTTTGATTTGTTTACTTTCATTTTTAATTTTGTAACAATTTACTACGACGATTGTAGAAATGAGAAAAAAAAACAATCTTATTTGATTATTATCCTGTTTGAACTATAAGAAAGAAGAAATGAAAAGAACAATTATGTGTCTTATTCTTTCACATTTACAATTAACTTCATATTCACACAAGCATACGTAGCTATTTTTTCCCCTTAATTATCGTATTGTTTTTGTTTGTCACAGTTTTTGCTCTATATATTATTATTATCGTCCATTTCAATTTGATGAGCTTATCTGTGCGTTTTATGGGGAACAACACTGTATAGCAGATATATAATACATATAGAAGAAATCAAAGGAAACCTTGACTAGGTTAAGATGACGATTTTGTTATAATACACAGATATATTTCATACATACGTATTTTACTAAACTCCATGATTTTACTTTTTTTGCATTTTCTTCTTTTAATCTTCTTTTTCTTTTTCTTCTTCTTCTTCTTCTCTTATGTATCATTTTATTTAAATTATTATATTTGATTATTTTTATTTGCGAAGACAAATAGAACACATATTTTACATTCACTCTTTTTTTTCAAATTTCTTCCTAAACGAATTTTGCGTATATTCGTTGAGAAAAGTGGAGAGAGAAAAAAAGGGAGAAGAAAAACTTCTCAGACTGGAAATCTGAATATTTGGTATTTTGTATAATTATATCTCAAAGAGATAAGAGACGGAAGTATTTAATCCAAGGACAGAACGGACTCTATCGAGTTTCTATTCCTTGGTTGTAGTCTTGGACCTCCTAGATAGCTCAAAGGATTGCCGAAAGTTCGACAATCTTCTGACAAATAGATAGGACTCATGTTCAGAACCAAAGGTTTTCTGGTATCTACAAAATCAACAAAGAAAAGAAAAGAACAAAAAGAGAAGAATAGAGAGAGAATAATAAGTACTATTATTTTCTATTATGGAAAAAAAGCGGAAAATTGAAAGAGGAATAAATCTTTAAACAAGGATGTATGATGATATGCATTTGTTTTTACAGGTCTCCTAATTTTTTTCTCTTAAAAATAATACAATTTTAATTATGCGATATGATTGTGCTAAAATTTGAAAGTAACTCGAGTTTTATCATGTAAGTAATTTTTTAGAAAAATATTAGAAGATCTTAGAACATATTAGGCAATGATAATGATAATGAAGACAAAGATTATGATGATACTGACCTGTTGATGTCGGCGAACGTTCAGGAACTTTCAAACGTTGTCCAATGTCATTGCTCGTGCTAGCCTATACATATAATGAGAATATTCCTTTTAAATACGTTTATTTGTTTATAAATTAATATTTCCATAATATAGGAACGAAGAGGATGCGATTAATCAATCCTTGCCATGATGCTTACAGAGACAAGAAACGACATTTCGTTTGTTTTCCTGTGAGATTAGTTGGTGGGTTAGTTAAAATTAAAATGAGCAGATGATAATGAACAATCGATCATTTGAATTATCGATCTATCCATTCGTTGATTTTTATAATTTCGATAATAGCTGGCAGCAATTTGGGGAGGCTGTTTATTTCAAAGCTAATTACATACATGTAAAACGTTCATTGGAATGACATAACACGTGTCCTTGCGTCTTGAAGCGAGATAACAGCATGCGATGCAATAACAGTCCTGATCGGTGCACGTATACGCCGATCGATGCCAAAGCGTTTGTTTCTTCTTTTTGTATGTCAACGATTTTCACCGTAATATGCGCAAGTTTGTTATTAGTATTATATTATAATAAAGCCGTTCCAAGATCATATGACGAATCGTTGCACAAGGCACGATTTAATTTTTTAGTTTGTTTGTTGATAGTTGCTTTTTTAACAGGCACAAGGAATATATGGAAAAATAATGCGTTGGGTTGAATGGTGCAAGAAAATTAGATTGGATTCGGATAATGTGTATATGTATATAAGTATATATGTATTTTTTGTTTTTTCTTCCTTTCCTTTGTACTGCGCTTTTTATATAACATGCTATAATAAAACATTGCCCATGAAAATGAATTTTATCGTTAGAATTACAAAGTCATTTCTTGGTTTTTATTTTTATTATTAGCGATTTTCAACGCAATCATCGCGTTTCTTTCATTGCAAGCTTCAAAAATCATTCGTCAAACAAAATTATTCGGGGATAGTTGATTTCATATTTGAAAGAGAAAAAGAAATGAGGAAAGAAGAAGAAAATAAAAAAAAAAGGAAAGAAAAGATAATAATTCACGTGCAGGACAAGAAAAAAAAAACAAAAGAAAATATTAACGAAAAAGAGAACAAAATAATAGTACCTCTAAAGTTCGCACGTAGAATTTGTATGGTTGGTTTCGAGAATGGTATTTGATGGTTCGACAACGTTTTCATCGACGTTCGTGCTAGACGACGAACTACTCCTAGGCTGAAATTATTATTACGATTTCGATTAAATTAATTAAATGGGAACAAAAATTAGAATCAAAATCGTCGTAAGATGATGTTACATAAAATTAACTGCGATCATTTATATCGGTGTCATCTTTGAATTATTCCTGTATCTGTTAAACTCTCTTTCATATACGATAATCATCATTATTTATATATATTTATCTATGGTATATGAATGATTCGTATATAACAAACGATAATATCGCCACCAAAAGCACACCAACGCCAAAATTATTTTCTGCAATAGTGGTGAAGCTGCTAAAAACAAACCGAACACCTATAAAACGTACACACATACACATAGGAATGATAATGATTTTTTTCGTAATTATTTGAATGAAAATTAAATTTGAATAATTTGTCACACGCACACTTTCATTCTTCCTGACACACATAGATACATACGTGTAAACCATTGATAATAACATTTTTATTATCGTAGCAAGCATACGTAACATTGTGTGCATGTATGCAGGCTCACGTGTATATATGTATGTGTGTGTAACATAAATGTAAATTGTATATGAAATATCAAGCTGAAAAAATGATCGACAAAATTCGAAAGTTTAACCAATTTGACTAATACATTAATAATTATTCAATAATATTTCATAATTATCTTTTATAATCTCGTGCGATTATGTTTGTTTAAGCAGGCAGTGAACACACAAATCCGTGCCGTAAGTGTCAAATTATATGAGAATTGAATAAGTGAAATGGAAATTACAATAATGACAATTAGTACAATGATTTGTTTCCCATATAAACATTAAATTAAACGAGTTTACGTTTGTACGTGTATATGTATGTATCGATTGACAGGACAAATTATTATTATTATTATTATCGTTTCACGTTAATTATCTAATTTGAAGTCTTCTAATTTGCTTATTTTTTTCTCGCTGTTATAAACGCGAATCTAAAATTGGAAAATCTTAACAAATTTGTTATAGCAAGATCAAAAAATTGATCATAAATTATCTTGTGGTCGTAATATACCTAAATTTGTTAAAGTTATCATTACTACTATATAATAATTATTATCATTATCATCATCACCATCATCATCATCATCATCATCATTATTATTATTATTATTTTAATATTAATATTATCTGTTTGTATTAATAAGTAAGAGGCACTAAGGGTTTATCAATGTATTCAACACGATCTCATCCTAAATTGCAGTTGAACAAACATTCTAAATCTCTCATAACTTTTACGATATGTATATTCTAGGCACTATAGAAGTTTCTCTTATTAAATTTATATTCCTCATCTATATTATATATTCTAATCGCGTAATATATATTTCTTTTCTTATTTAAACAGTTCCTAGATATTTCGTGCAAATTATCTAAGTTTTGAACATATTATCGCGAGGATCGATCAATCTTGCTGTTACTCTTTCAAAACGAGCTCCTCCGTGTGGCCTTTTGAACACAACAGGTACACTAAGATCTAAACTCATTGGTCTTTTTGGTGGTTCCTTTTTAATACTATTTGGAATTTTGTTAGCATGCGTATTAACGTTATTAACATTTGTTTTTGTTGTTGGTATACATTCAGTTTTAATTTCATTGATACCAGTCACGGAAAAATTCGTTTGAAGGAGTCCCTTCTCTTCATTTAACGATGGATTATCGATCAAGGACATTCTTCGTGACGTATCTCTTACCGACTTCAAGAGGACCTCGTCCTCTTGGCCGTCTTCGTTATCACCTTCTTCTTCTTCATCATCATCTTCTTCATCAGCTGTAGTAGCAGCAGCAGCATTGTTTCCTTTATCATCTCCATCTTGTTCTTCTTGATCATCCTCTTCCATCAAATCAGTTTTATCGTCATTTTCATCTTCTTCTTCTTCTTCTTCGCATTCTTCTAATTCTGGTTCTTCTCTTAGATCCTCCATTGACTATATATGAATAATTGGTAAAAAAAAAAAAAAGAGAGAAAAATATATATATATTAGAATAAGATTCGATACATCGCCGACTTTTGTTTTCGTTCTTACAAGAAAAGCTATTTAAAATTTTGTAAATTTTATTATTTAATACACCCTAGATTTATTTAACAATTGGTATTGTTTTTATATGATTGATAATAGAAATTCATTTCTACTTATTTTTTAAGTTACATATAAAATATATTTTATATTGTTAATAATAATAATGTTAAATAGCTTTTCTTGTGTAAGTCAGCTTTTTATATTGCATATGTATTTGGCATGGCAAAATAGAAAAAAGATAGAAAGAGAGAGAGAGAGAGAGAGAGTGATAGAGATGTTCAATGATTCATATTTAAAAGAATTAAAAATTTATATTATAAAATTTGGAATTTTTTATAGCTATAGATTGATATTGTGTTCAGAACGAAATTTGAAAGAAACATGCAAAAGCCAATTAGAGCAAGCCTTGCAAAAGCTTAGCATGCATTTCTTATTGGAAACAAAAAAGAATATATCTTTACAAATGGGTTTGGTTTCGGAGGTTTATTGACGATGCCTGTATTTACCCCTAGCAGCTCCTTTTTCTCTGGTTCCTCGTCTGCTGTGAAATAATATTTGTATTAGAATTACCGTGAAAATTCAATCAAGACAATATTAATCTTTTGAATTACAATCAATCTTATACTTTGATAATGGTCAATTTTTTAAGATAAGTTCATTTGTCAGATATCAAAAAAGTTTAGCAGAAAAAGAAAGATAAAAGAAAAGAATTATTTTTACACTAATGACAATTTAATAATGTAAAAGATTAAAATAAATCATAAGAGACAACAAGAGATTACCTTTTATGTGAACTTTTTTATCATTCATCAATTCCTTAGGTTCTGTATTAGGTATTGGTTTGTATTCTTTAGCTGTAGCTTTAATATGAGTACCATTTGGCCTTTTCTCATCATCAGTAATTTTAAATCCAATAGTTTTAATACCGGTCGTTGTTACCAATGAATCTGTGTACTGTTGAGGTTGCCATCTCTGTGATCCCGAAGGACTCGGTGTTTTACTAGCTACAGCTGCTGCACTTCTTCGACGTCTTCTATCCTTTCTTGCACTTCGCCATACTTCATAAATACATCCTATCACGGCAGCGACGAATAAACAAACTAGAGCTATGAAAACGTAAGTTCCTGCACCTTGTTCTTCTTTAGTAGCGTCAGAATATTGAGATTTGTAGAGAATCCTTTCTGGGGGATCCCCGTCCCATGCTCGATCACGTCCCTTAAAAAAAAGAATAAAAAGAAAGGAAGAAAACAAGAAGATGAAGAAAAAGATAAGAATGGTATATCATAAAAATTCTATTTCTATATAAATTATTTACTCACAACACTGTCATTTCTTTGAGATTCTATACCCCTAGGTTGTGCATGAAAAACTGCACATTGTGCGCTTCTAACACCACCTGGACTGGTTGCTCTGACAGTTTCACTGCCTTGTTTTGTAAATAACATGTACTCTTCTAAAGGTTTCATTATAGGTCCGCCATTAATCGAGATAACAACGTCTGTCAAATAGATGAGATACAATATTAATTTTTAACTTTCAACACCTATAATTTTAGAATTATACTTACTGCTTAGGCAACCGGTGTATCCTTTATAAGCCAAAAACCGAGGATCTGTAGTATTTAGTCCACCAAGTTGAATCTCAGTCGAACCTGGATCATAGTCATCACCTTGATTGCCTGTATTGATTGCTGGGATTGGTGAGAGGCTTACTTCTTGGCGATCGACCTGTGATCATTTATAATAATAATAAGTATACCAATTTATAGATTAATAAATGAAATTTGTCTTTTCATTGACTAACCAATAGTGTCGCTGTGTTATTTTCTCGTATATAATAAATGCTATGCCTAGCTCCATTCAAGAAGTTTCTATCGTTGAGTCGTACACCATAAACCGAGCCTTCGACATCCTCTTCGAAGATCAGCTGACCCTCCGACGTTAAGGCCACGAGTAGATAATAGCTTCTTCTGAAAAAAAGTTTTTCGAAAGACATCCCGGATTCCAGACGTCGACAATCTCTTCGCAATGATGCAATCTCTTCATTTCCTTTATCCGGAAAGAAAAGAGGTATCTCTACGTAGTGAGAAACATTAATAACAAGGGTCTTAGAGATTTTACTTGTTTTCTGTTTGCAAGAGCAACAATGCCGTTGTACGCTGCCGTAGTTCGTTCGTTGAAAATGCTAGTTGTACTTTCACTTGCTTCACTTCTCCTTCTAGGTCGAATTCACGTTGAAGTACACTATCACCACTGAAATCGGCACCTTTCTCTATTAAGGGATAAAGATATTTGAATAAATATTTATTATTATTAATAATTTATAGATTTTTTTTCATGTTAACGTGATCTTACCATCTTCACAGTGTTCACCAAAATATGATGTTAAGTCACAATTGCAAGAGGATTCTTGCCTTCCAAAATCTTCCGTACATATACCCATGTTCTTGCAAGGCATAGCGTCACATTTCATTTGACAATTCGGAAGGACACCTTTGCTACCTTCGTGATTGGCTTCGTTGGCTAAGTTTGGTAAATCCACGTGATACTTGCCGATCATTAACCCTCGTAGACATCCTACATACCCTTGAGTAAGATTACCTTCTTTTCCTACTCTTAAAAGATCGTCTGGATCAAAACCTCCCAAATTCATCTGTCAAAATAAGGATTGTTAATTATTTGGTAATAAATGAGTTTTGAATTTTTGAATGAAACTTTTGAATGAAATCAAATTTACTTGAAAGTAATCTGTTGGTGGTGCGGGTGGTCTTTGAGGTGCTAAAACTTCCTTTTCAGGATTAATCCAAGGTTTATTAGAATAAGAATCTAAAAGTATTGGAGTTGCATTCAATGTTTTGTTATATTCATTCACAACAAGAATCGTAGATTTGTCTTCATGAAGTATGGCTATTTGTATTGATATTCCAGTGTTAGCCTCTGTTTAAAAAGAAGAAAATATTTTGTCGGATAAATAATATACTGTCGTAATGTACATAAAAATAAGAAAGGATACATACGTGGATGATGTACAGTAATATTTTTGATTTCATTACCAGCATTGAAGAGATAAACAATATTTGTACCATTCGAAATGTAAAGATGTATAAAATTATTTAAATGATCGTTAGCATAAAGTATCAATGAATGAGTATCATATGTTCTCAGATTAATTAATATTCTATGTTCGAACATACTCTTCAATAATATTTTTTCACCATCATCGTCCGAGCCAAAATAATTTTTTTTCAGAAAAGCACCCGACGAAGTAAACGTCAAAGCTTTATTATTAATGTCTGTTCAAAATATTAAGATTTATAAATTACTTAAATTATTAATTAATTATAACAATTAAAAAGAACTTACTTGTTTCACAATAAATTCCTAAATGAGCCCACTTATTCTTGCAAACACATTGAAATTTACTCCACTGTTCGACACATTTTGCACCGTTTTGACATTTGTTAGGTTGACAAGAAGGTTTACAATCTTTTATAATTTCCGAAAGATGTACCGACATATAACTATGGATATCCAAGATTTCACCATTTACAACAAGACCTCGGAAACATCCAATTAATCCTTCACTGACCGATGAAGTCTTCAAATGTTCTCTGTGATCAAAAAATCATTAGATATCTTTAATAATAATCATTTTTCTATTATTATACGGTCACTTACGCTGTAGCACCTCCGATAAACATAGAACCCTCGAACGGACCAAACTCTTCTTCAGATGTCAAATTTACCATTTGATAATCAGTATTAATCATAAATCTAACATGATAATCATTATAATCGATCCAAATCTTTTGCCATTCTCCGTTATTCAATTTCCTTCCACTTTTTATTTCCAATTCTTGAACGGTTCCAGTGTTGAGAGTAAAGTTAAAAGTTAGCCGATATTCTGATGTCAGTGCTACCATGAACGATGGATAATTACTCCTAATTGGTGGTTGATAAAGAAGGATAGCTCTTTCTCCTGTTGTACGAAAACTAAAAGCTATGTCACCTTTTCTCCAACCTGGTACTTCAATATAGGATTGTGAAGTTGTAAAGGTAACAACATATTTCTGTGTGTCTGAGCAAAATGAAAACAAAATGTTACAATTTTACAATTATATGAAATTATGCTATTACAATTTAAATTTTTACTGACGTACTTGTCTCAACACATTCCAATGGACCTAATGTTATACGGCCTTGAGCATCTTCTTCCAGATCTTTTTGCTGTAAGAAGACCATACCAGTGATACCTAATGAATCAGGTGTCTTGTAATAACCTTCATCAGATAGCCATTTTCCTGCATTTCCAGATGACACATCACAGTTACAACTCATATTTTCATCCACACAGGTTCTGTTTTCTGGAATATAATGAAATGATAAAAATAATATAATATTTAGATATTCTTTAGGCTATACTATTAATTAGAAAACTTACCACTACATGGACAAGAGCCTCTATTAACATTTCCAATAAAATCAACTGTTGTTCCTTTTGAACCAAGAAACCAGGTTGCACTATGAAGTTCCAATGGTGCTTTGTAACAATCATATTTTACATATTGTTTACAATAAAGTGAATGAGAGATCAGTTCTTGAAGCATCTCTGCAGTAAATTGTCTGTACGTAATACTATATGAAAAATCAAATTGAGAAAAGGATCTAACGTCTACTTGAGATGGCAAATTATGTTCTACGATTGTTTTGGTTGAATCTTCGATTGATTGAAATTCACATTTTACTACTGCAGGTGGAAATCTTCCATTTCCGTCAATGTCAATTCTATAAACACCATCTTGAGTGTTGTCTAATAACGCTAATTCTTCACAGGTTTTTCTATATTGTGCTGCAATGAAAATTAATTATCAAAATTATAGTTACAGTTATTGTATTTTTGTTTTAGGTAAGATAGATAGGGCACTTACCAAAATGGCAATTTTTTCCAATATAACCAGTGTCCGTACAATCACAAGTAATTCGATCTTCTTTAACAGAACATTTACCACCGTGTTCACAAGTGTTTGGTCTTTTACATGGGTCAACGAATTGGCAATTATCCAATGCTACTTCACCGACAACTCTTTCAGTATTTATAATGTATCTAGGTTCAATGTTTTGTCCATTTACTTGAATATCTCTCATGCAACCTACTAGACCTAATTACAAAATAAATCAGCTTGATTAATTAATCATTCAAATTTTATTTAATATGTTTCTTTTATTTTCTTAATGTATCGTTACATAGGTTTACTTACCAGCATTACTTTTGCCACTTCCAATGATTACTTTGTTATCCAATTCAAAAATCATAGAAGAAAGTTGCTTGGTTTGTTTATTTCTATAATCGACTAGAATGTTTAACTCGCCTTTTGTATAATTTAATTCAACGGCGTGCCAGGAAGTGTTGTATGGTGGAAATTTGACAGCAGTTGATACTGTAATATTTTCTATTAGGGCAGGTATCAATTGAAAACGTATTTCGTCGTTAACCAAGCGAAGCTAAAAAAGGAAAAAACAAACAATTATTAGGTTTTTTAATATCATTTATTGAAAAAACAATTTTATTACCTCCCAATAACCAAGTCCCTGTTCACTATGGACTTCTCCCGATGCAATAACTGCAATTGGTTTTGAACTTTTAAAATCAAAGTTTAACTTAAGAGAATCCGTTTTCTCAATAGGCCACCAAATATGACTTCCTGCGAAAGGGTACGTAATAGGAATGACCTCAACGTCGGCCTCGTAATACTCCGGTTCTAGCACGCCGATATAATGAACCATAGGATTAGATCGTTTCAATTCATAGATGATCGACTTGTCGTTAAAGAATACATATTTCAATGATCCTAAAAAGTCGTTTTATTCGTTTAACTTTAAATCATTTCTTTTCGATATTAAACAAAAAGATAAAACTTCATTTTTAAATAAAAATTTATAATTCATCAATTATTTATTAAGATGAAAAAGTGTTTAAAAAATATTTAAACTCGTACGAACCTACAAAATTGTTATACGAAACTAAACCCTTTTTCTTATGAAGCTCTGGTCCACCACCGATATATATTTCAGGATCGATAATCATGTTATAATTTTCACCAGGTATCTTGAGTACTTTAACTTCTTCGTCCAAACTAACGTATACCCATGAACCATTGTGAAAGATGGTTAAATTGTTCCAATGATCTGACGTAACATAATCGCCAAGTTCCGTATGAATTTTGGAATCATGACCAAAATCTAATTCAACGACAACTGAATCGTTCAAAATGGATGCTGCTACGTAATGCGGTGTACCATCAATTTCACCAGACGCATAAAATAATGCCGAGTCGTCGAACTTTGTCTGAAAAAATTTCATTAACATTTCAAATAACAAGATTGATAATAGTCTCTTGAAAGTATTAAAAAAAGGGGACAAGTTTAAGTCTCATCAATTCTGATGCACGGTTCTTAGATATTGTTATTTGTATCAACAGTTTTTACCTTGAAAGCCAAGCTTATCCTGTTAACGGAGGAATGAACACGGTCTTTCCAATCGTAAACTCGAAATGACACGTACGATGATCCCCTCAACGTTAAAATCGTGGCAGCTGAAAAAATGATTTAACATTTGGAAGTCCATTAGTTTCAACTATCAAAGGGATCAAGCAATCCCTTTGATTGCTTTACAATAGACGACGTTTGACGGATCGTCTTTATCTCAGTTCTTAAAACGTCCCCCATTCGTATTAGAGTCGTGTGTAAGTTGTAAAAAGAGAACTAACTTTTGGTCAAAAGATACGATGTTATAATAATCTTAACTGATACATTTTAATAATAATAATAATAATAATAATAATAATAATAATAATTTTCTTTTCAAAAAATATATTTCTTTAGTTACATACTGTAGACGTCACAACGTTCTCCTTCGTATTTCGTTCCAAAACAGTCACATGTCAAGCTGTTATAATGATTGACACATTGGTCGGCCATAAAGCAAAGGTTTTCCCTTGTCCTGCATCTAAACGATGAATGGATATATAATTTATTTTAAAAAAATCAATTGAATCGATCAGTGACTCTCTATAATGTGTATTATCGTTAAAAATTGTTTATCAAATTTAACTGTTAATTCATATGCCATGATCAATCTTTAAATAATGATGACGATTTTAGTCGGTCAAAGAATAAAAAGGGGACGTACTTGTCGATGCAACCTTCCTTTACATTTTCATGCTTTGTTGCAATCAACGGTTGAATGGGTAACAAGTCACTTGCCGACTTGCCGGAACTGAGGACCATGTCTCTGATGCAACCGACAAAAGATTCTATGATATATTTTACTCCATGTAAACGCTCCTCTGAACTTAATCCTAATCACAAAAGAAAATAGGATTAAGATTGAACTCGAGAATGGTAAAATGAAAAAAGAAAAAACTAAAAGACTGTATCCATTATGTTTTACCTCCTATAAGAACAACGGATGCCAATTCCTCCGAAACACCATAATTGACGAAACGTTCAAGAACTTCTAAATTAGTTTCTGCTTGCTTTTCATCGACCCTAGCGATTAGTTTAGCTCCGTGAACATCAATTCTAACCAGAACACTATGCCACTCGTCTCTGTTAAGTCCTTCACCAACGGTAATACTCGTTGAATTTTTTCCAAACACATGTACTACCTTCAATTGACCCTTTTCAACTATCACGTAAAGCGCGTAAGGTTCTAAACCTTCTGGACGATCTTTCACGCTGTGATAAACGAGTAAACCGTGTGGCAATTTCGTTCGAAATTTGAATGATATTTCACGGCATAATCTGTGATAACAATAAACATTTATTACCATTGTTTTATCATCTGTTGTTTTTTTTTTATTTAGTTAATATTCCAGAGATTCCGTCATACCTCAATTGGAAGGTTTTTATTCCACTGCCGTCTAGTTGAATGAACGTATTACTTTGTGCAAACATGAACGTCTTCTCGTATCCTGATTCCATGAATGTCAATTCCTTTTTACCCGGGAAAAAAAGAAAATTATAGTCGTACGCGGCTGGTTTTAATCATTTCATCAATGTGAGAAAAGTGTTTAAGACGAGTCTGAGATTTGACTCACCTTTCCTCGTTCTTCCTTTGGTACTGGTGGCCTTGTTGGTTCGGGTGGTGTGAACGTTGGTCTTGGAGTACTTGATGTAGTTATAGGTGGTGTACTACTCGTTGGAACACTCGTTGTCACAAATACTCCTCCTTTTGTTACCAGGTAAGGTGGTAGTGTGTCTAACAATCATTTCATCTTATACAGGGGTTTTATCAATGTGTCCATCTTATGATATTAAACGTATATATTTAATATTAAAAATACCGATGCATCATTTATATCTATTTTTACCACAATAGATCAAATGGTAGGTCTTCAAAAAGAATCATATTTTTTACAATGAAAATATATAAAACATTGATGTAATAGAAATTCTAGACACAAAGTAGTACTGTAACTTGTGAGAAATTCTGGCAGAAAGCTTAAAAAATATCATTTGACTCATCATGAGTTTAGTGTTAACTATATTACCATGATTCTATTTTTGTAATAGATTTACAATTATCTTATTAATTAAAACTAATCATTCTTTTTTATTAATTGGAACTACATGCTAAACAAGTGTGTTAGATTTTGTATTATTGTTTAATACTAACAGGGAATAATAAATAAAGAATTTATTGTAAATAATAAATAATTTGTGAAATAAAATACTACTTACGATCAGGACCACCGACACAATAATGAAGACACTCAGCTTCAGAATTGAATCTATTCTCATTTCCTAAACAACTTCCATAAGGGAACATCTTGCATTTTCCTTCAGCTTTATGAAAAGACCATTTATATACATAATGCTTGCAAGGTCCTTGAACCTGTTTTTCTAAGCATCTCTCTGGTATTGGTTTCTTCGTTGTAGTGATTGCTACCGTCTCCTCGATCGATTCCGATTCCGAGGAGGCTGTTAGATTCGCTGGAACCTTTCCAAGGATGTTCAGCAAGACAAGGATCCCGAAGATCCTCTTCTCGCGTCTGGTCATCCTTCTTCATTCGCTAAAATCGATCCCATTTTTATAAGCTTTTCAATTTTTTAATTTTAATTTTAATTTTTCTTTATCAACTTTTAATACAAAATTGTTTAATTTATTGACGTTTCTTATTAAAATATATGTACAAAAAAATAAAATGTTAATTTTATAAATTTGTTTCTTTTTCTCCTTTTTTTATTTTGACGTTTAGAATCGATCTCACGTTTTCTTGCACGAAACGAAGCTTTTTAAGATTCAGAACGCACAAACGCGCGCCCACACATCTTTCTATAAAGCGCTTAAAATCTTCATCCTTCCGGTATATCTCGCAATGGTTAAAACCCCCACCTCGATGTACTATTGTAGATGCATTTTTACGATTGTGACAACCGCTTTTGGATTTACGACTTCCCTTTCATTTATCAGGTGCATAATATACAAGAATCACGTTCTTCATGAATTACGTAACTATCGTTATATATCTATTGTTGTTTTTAAACTCTCTAGAATGAAATGAACATTACGAACGATAAAGAGACCCCTAAAGTTTTTAGATGAATTTAAAATATCAAATCAAGTCATTTTCTCATATTTGTTTTTCAAATCGTCAGGAATTGTTAACAAATTGAATAACTTAACTTACAATATCTTGGAAAAAAGTAATTGATTTTAAGAACTACATGAAAATTTATAATTAACAATATTTTATAACACGAATAATTAATTATTTTTTTTTTTTGTTCAGATTGCATAATATTTGTATATTATTGAACTTGAATTATCAACGCGAACACTGTGATATTAATTTTTCTTTTTTTCTGCCGGAAACACGAAGACAACTATGTCAAATAAAAAAACAATTATTGGTTGATGTAAAATATGTTGTAGGAATGGAATGAAATAGAAAAAAAATTTGATTCTTTCGTTCTTTCTGGATGAATAATCGCGCGTGGGACAAAGTCTCACATGATGAACGATTCTACGAGGTCAATTGAATTGGATCGTCGAAGTAGAGTTCTCTCTTTCTCACTCTTTCGTACTCTCTTTTTTCTTCTTTCTCTTTCTGACTCGTCTTATAGAAATAAATTTCGGTTCTTCGTATGTACTTCCGACCTGGCATATAGTAATATCAATGACTCTTCCTGGAAGATGAATAAGATAACTCGATTCACAGATCCGGATGTGTATTCGTACGTGAAAATATTTGAACATTTTTCTTTCGTCAAATAACAAATAAGAATTTATTTTACTATAAAGTCACGTGTGTGTTACCAAAAGTGTTGATAACGTAAAATTGGTACAAATAATATATAGACACGAATGCAAGTATCACGCGAGAACCTTGAAAGATTTAATCTGTTAAAAAGAGAGAAGAAATAAAATAAAACAAGGAAAAAAAGATTCTATATAAGACGATTATAATTTTTAAACAAATATCATTCATATTTATTATAATAAATAAAATTTTTAATATCACTTTTTTAGTTATTTTCTCGTGTATCAAAGAATGATTTAATTTATATTTGTGGAAAGTTAACTAATGAAGATTATTTCTTATTTTCCATAGTAACGCATATTTGTTAAGTATTAAAAAACAAAGAAAAGATTAAGTTTCGAGTTAGGATTTCAAAGTGTCGATAGGTGTATATTGTCGTAGAACTGTAGAAAATAACGGAAACGATCGTTCAAGCGTAATCAAGAGAACTACGAGAGTGATCTTCGACGTTTCTCCTATCTAAGAAGATCAAATGAGGTTTGATATATTTTAGTTGAATCTCATCAAACTCCTACAAATCTTTAAATCTGTAGAATAAATTATCTATCGTTAAACATTTTTTTGTATATTTGAGCTTTAACAGAAGAAAAGCTTTAACTATCAGAAAAAGAAGAATATCCGAAGTAAGTAAATCTTAATCAACAAAATTGTAACATAGTACATTAAAACATTTCAATTTCACGTACTACGAAAGGCCCCTAGCGTCAAAGTATTAGACAATAAAAGAGAGAAAGAAAGAAAGAAAAAAAAGAAAGAGAGAGAGAGAGAGAGAAAGAAAGAAAGAGAGCAAGTTCCAGCGGCAATTTCAATTAAATCACATTAAACTCAATCTAATTTCATCAGAGCGAAATCAACGTCGATGGTATATAAATTCAAAGTGTTTCAAGGAGTGAATTGTGAAAAAGGGGAAAAGGGAAAAGGGAGAGGGAAAGAAATAAGAATAAGAGTAGTTAGAAAAAGAGATAGTGTGAAATTGTGAAAAAAAAATAAAAAAATAAGATTAAGATTCAGACATTGATCACAGGGAAGATCTTAAAACACTGCAAACATAAAGTGAAGCATCAAGGGCATACAGTTTGCTCATGAACAGCTCGTTCACTCGGTGCACAAATCTGCGTACCTTCGTGCGCCGTAGTCCAGATGAGATCGCGGCTCGTTGTCGTTCAACAGCAGAGCAAAGTCACAGCAGCAGTAACAGCAGCAACAGCAACAGCAGCAGCAGCAGCAGTAGTTGTGGTAGCAACAGTATATATATGTATATAGTAGTAATAGTAGTGTAGTAGCAGAGTAGCAGGATGTGACGTCAGAAGGCCCCCGACAAGCACCGACGTTCGACTCTGCCAGCTACGAGTCAATTGTCTTTTTCTGTCACACCGACGTACACCATTACAGGAATCCTGTGCATCGATGGGGTGCACACGCGCACAATATACACAATATATTTATGTTCTTATATTCGATATATTTTATATATATAGATATGTGTTATGTATCTATGTATATATGTTGTGTTGTATAGGTAAAAATGTAGGTATAGTAATTTGTTTAATATTTATGTGTGAGTTTGAATTTTAATATTTTTCTAACATAAATATATATATGTATATGTAGAAAGACTTTAGAAAATATAAAGTATTATATACGTTTTACGTATGATCCCGTRTTTACGTATGGGTATAAGCGCGCGCGCGCGCGCTCGCACGCACACACAACGCGCAACACCTCCACCACCTCGTACGAAGCTTCTACCACTTGTATTCTCCTCGTCTTCTCTTCCTCTTTCTCTTCTTCTTCCTCCTCCACCTCCTCCAGCACCTCCTCTACTTCCAGCAGCAGTAGCAGCAACAGCAGCAGCAGCAAGTAGACACTAATTTATTAATACCACTCTCTGACCGCTACTACTCTCCACGGTTACTCATCACGGTTTATTGACTTTCATTGCGATCTCGTCTCGTACGACGCGAACCTTCCTTTCGTCCTTTTCCACCCCCATTCGTGTGTCACTCTCTTTCTCTCTTTCTTTCTCTCTCTTTTTGTCTTACTTTTCTTCTTCTTTATTTTTATATATTTTTCTATCTTTTTATTTTCTTTCTACCGTTTTGTTTTCTTTCTACTTGTCTCTTTATTAAACTTTTTAGATGAACATTACAACACGTTAATTTAATTGTTACTCATTTTGCTACATTATCAAATGACCCCTTGTTTATTATTATCTCTTTTATATCAAAGTTTCAATTAAATTTCTCCGAGCTTCTTGTGTTGTGCGTGTGTCTATATTATTTTCTTCTTTTATACGGATAAGACGTGTGATTAGAATTTACTTCTGTGTCTCGTTTGTTCCATCTTTTCAATTCTGTTTATTTTATTTTTGTCTCTCATATATCAGGAAATCAGTCTGCAAGCAGATAAATGAAAAATCACTTTATCATTTTTATTCTTTTTTATATTAGTAGCTTCTGATTATTTTTTGTATTTCTTTAAATATTTTGTATATGATATAAATATATATATTTTTATTATATTTCAGATGGTGTATAATATTTTCAAGTGAATTTAAAAATCAATTACTCATTTTAATAATTAGTTAGTATAATTTTACGATCAATAAAAAATGCAGAATTAATTTTTTTTTAAATCATCTGGAAACTTCAACCTATAAAGAGGATAATGAAAAAAAAGCAATTAAGAAATTTACAAAGAAAAAGATTTCTCATTGAACAAACTATTTCACAATCTGATTGTAATCGTTAATTAAGGTAGAATCTAAGAAAAAAAATAAAAATAGATCAATGTGACTTATGAAGTATAGGATAAATTCTTTCATAGCCTTGCATCTATTATTTATATTACTCGTATCACGTGTGCCTGGTACCACTTTTCTACGACGAGAAAGAGACAATAGTGCGTGGAACAACCTGTTACTTCTCGTTCGTTCGTTCGTTCGTTCGATCAAGAAATTTAGTCCTCGCGAATAAGAACGAGCAAAAGGCGAGTCATACCAACGAATGAAAAATACTTTCGTAATTGCAACAGGCGTTAACAATTGTAAAACGTGTTAGCCAAGTGAATGGTCTCTTTTTTTCTTTTTAAACAACAACAACAGCGACGAACAAAAAAATGATAAAAAAAGAACACACATGTACACACGTAGGAATATAATATGCACCGTTATACAATGGTTCATATATATATATATATGTTATAATATTAAAAATGTAGATCATTATTTTATGAAGTAACTTTGAGAAGCTCGTGTCCTAGTTCATTTACTCGTTAATGAGGAACCATTGTTTTAAAACTTTTAAACTAGTATTAGAGAATTCTTTTGCTTCTTTTTTTTTGTTATAGAAAATTGTACAATATAGTGATACGAAGGTCGAGTTAAGAGAAACTATAGATCTTTAACGAGCTTTAAACAAAAGGGAACGCGTATGATGAAAATTACTGAAAGACCGATTTGGAATATGTGATGCAGCTTTTTTCTTATGTAATTGTATTCTTCGAACTTCATTAATGGAATTACGATCTTATTTTACATCACGAAGATTGCTTGCTGCTCGAGTAATTAAGATCCATTGCGCACGTTGTGTAATCCAATCTGACGATTTCTACGAGTATGTTAGACAAAAAAAATTAGATAAAGTTTTAAGTGTCTTTTTTCTATTTGTTTTGCTTCTATTTACTATCTTGCAATGATACAACATACTCTTTTCTTTGAACAATAGCTCAGTCGACTATATTACCCTATTAGATTTTTATTTGTAAAGGAAACTAAAACAAGTTTATATAACTGATTTGAGATAGCTACACTTGATATCATGGTAAAAGGAATCAGGGATGTAATTGCAGAAATTAATAAAAATCCAAAATAAATGTAGGCATGTCGGAAACGGCATATTACAGCAGATAAAATATGTTAAACTTGTATTCGCGTAAGTGGGCATTATTTTGTACAACACATTTAAACAATATTTATTATATAACGTTTGAATAAAGCATTAAATATCCTATATTTATGTAACATTGAACATAGAATATATTCAAGATGTTTGTACGAAAAATACTTTAGACGCCCTGTGTATATGTATATTTAATTCATATATAAAATAATAACTAATAATAATTTTATCATTTTCTACGTATGTGCATACGTAAAAGCAGCAAAAAAATATACAGATATATAATATTTGTATATGTATGTGTATATTTAGTATAAATAAGATAAAATTATTTGACGAAATATATTTAATGATAAATCATCGAAGATAAATTATTTACTGATGTCGTTTTACGATCTTATTTTTAGCTCGTAAATGGCTAGTCAAATCGATAGGTGAAACGATCGAACGCAGGTGCGTTCTAATATATATACATTTTACTTCTCGTTAAACACTACATATGTGTACATGGAACTATATATAACATGCTTGCTCTTGTATGTGCTTAATAAGTCATATAGTATATGATACCCGTTTTTCATATTCGTATATATGCAGGACGAGACGTTTTAAGCCAATTTTCTTTCTAGATTATAAAATTACAAGCTTAGATTGTTTAAATTACAAGTTTAAATATAAGCCTAAACGATCTAGAAATGAAGTAATTAATTTGTAAAATCATCTTGGAAATTTTGGGTTCAATCCCGTACTCGTTCAATGCAAATTAATTAAATTTATAAAGTAAAGCAGTGATAAATACGAATAACGAATTTATTCATACAAATTATAAATATTTATCATCACAAAGTATACTTTATCGATTATAAATCGTTCTGCTCTTTCATTCAACTTATCTACGAGTAATCATCGATCGTATTAAATTTTTCTCTTATTAATAATTTTGTTTGCTTCTTCTTTTTCTCATTAGAATAAATATCAATGATATTTTTTTATATTTTGTTACAAGGAATATTACGTTGAGTAAGATAAAATTCGATATAAAACAAATAAAGAAAAAAAAAAAAACATTCGTTGAGATAAAAGAACTCGATAATATTAAGTATAAATTCTGTCGTGATCTTTTTCAAAGAGGTCAAAAGTTAAATCGTTTGACAAAGATGATCAAAGAGGTCAGCTGATTCTCCCATTGATACTAACGTTAGATCAATCAAAGTTCTTCCAGGTCAATGAACTTGAAAAATTTGTTGTGAAAATTTAACATTTTTTTATGATCAAAAAAGAAAATACAAAGAAAAGTGAATTGTTCGTATTTATGAAAAAAAAAAATGTATCTTATACATATTTATGCAATTAGGTAAATAAAATGCATAACATTCTTCATTCTTATTAGATACATTTGAGGCCAATATATGCATATAAAATAAAAAAAAAAACACAAAAAATGGAATCCACATTTACCTTGATAAAAAAATAACTAAATAAAAAGAAAATAAATGTGTATGCATTTATGTAAATATGTATTAAAATTATATATTAATTTATATTTATTTATGCATTTCATCAGATCATACGCATTAGCACAAATTCGATGTTAATATTGAAATATATATTCGTGAAAAATTTTGTAATTTTGTTTAAAGAGCAAAAAAATGAAAGTATTTACTGATGTGGTATGTATGTATGTACATATATATAGTTATATTCTCCGTTAGGAGGTTTGCTCTGGTTGCTTTCGTCACGACCTAGGATGCCAGGCCGCGTGCTCGGTGCCTGCCTCTCCTTTTGTTGCCGGAAGATCGATATATCGAGCTAAACCGGTGAGTGGGTCAACGTAATATCTACGTTTCTATATTACTTTGGTATACGATAAATGTAATATATATATATATACATTTATAAACGATCTAATTATACTTTATCTCTTTGATATGTTTTAATTTCATTTAATTTGAATTTTTTTCTTTCCTTTTCTTTTCGATTATTTTTTATATTGCTTCAATTTGCAGTTTTGTATCCCATTTTTTTTCAAAGTTCTACATCATTATTTTTTATATTAAATTTATTTTACTTTTTTACACACAGATACGATTGTGTCGAATGTATTTTAGTTTGAACATAGAAGAATTATTTTTTCAGATTTGATTGAGAAAAAAAAATTGTAACGTGACGATATATGTGAGTAAGGATGCTGTGTATTTTATATAGGCAAAATACAGGTCAAGGTTCGACGTACCGAATCAACCTTGACCCAAATCAATAGTGAAAAAGGAGATATACTTGATAAAGATTAAATTTGATGCTTACAATGTTAAAAAAGTTCGATGAAGATAATCATATACGAAGAATAAATAATTATTACACTTGTATAAACGAAACACGATTCTGTGAAAATAATTAATAATTTATTTTAATTAAGCGTAGGGTTGTTATATGTGTATTTTCATGGGTTATCTTAAGAATCATCGAAAGGATTATTTGATTCCAATTTATAGCAAAACTTGTCTTCTTCGGTCATTCATAACGGCACGTTCTTATGAATATGTATATGTATGCACATATGTGTTATTTTATTGATCATACAAAAAAAAGTGTAATGAGTCATGGTACGTAGTATTTTATTCGTATAATCACAACCACTTGAAAATAATTTCTCTCTCTCTTTTTAATTTCTCTTTATGTTGATATTAAAATACGCGCGTGCGCGTGACTACGCACGCGTACATGTTTTTTTTCCCCTCATTTTTGTTTATTACTTTTTTCTTTTTATTATTTCAAAAGAAAAGAAAAAAAGTATCGAGGAAGTTGGCCCGTGTAAAATAAGAAACGTGTGGCTTGTGAAACGAATCGATTAATTAAACATTATACTACGTGTGCATTATTAGTGACTCGTGTGCAACCATTGCACGTGACTAAATTTATTAATCACGCGGCTTTATTCGAAGACTCACTATTTTTCTTGGTAATATTTGTTCTTTCCTTATTTACGTATATTATCTCTTTTTCTCTCTCTCTATCATTTTTTTTTTTTCTTCCGATTCATTGATAAACGATTTATACATATTAATTTCTTCAACGTCACTTACTCACGTGAGATTGAAATATATATATATATATTTGATAGAAGTATAGTTTATACAAATATAGAAATTTTGATATTAATTAACGATA